ACCGACGGCGCCCGGACTGCTTTGGTTCTCTTCTCTATGCTTGAAATAATTTGTGTTGTAGTCGACCGTTTCTTCGAGTAATTTCAGACTCTGGCGGGCGGGAAGGTTGTGCACGAGATAGTAGTTGGCAGCATGGAGTCAGACAGGAAAGCAGACAGGCTCGGGTCTTTGCTGGCATCAACGCCTTGACCTTCAATCCGTCTTTTGTCCGTATTCTCGTGTTGTCTTCGGTGTTGCTCTGCAAATTACGTTTACTGCGTGCACCAGCACCATCGTAGCAACTTCTTCCAAATTATCGTTTCACTGCATTTGTACGTAAGAAGTTTACATCGTCCTCGACTGTTTTTCTTCTCGCTAATGCAACCACGTGCTCTCCTACTTTAATTTTTCATGCCTCTGGACTCACCTTATCCGGGCATCTGTCGCCGACTGAATCAAAATTCATCGTGCAGACAGACTGATATTGCGTCTACCCTGCTACTTCTTCCATGCACGCCTCTGTGCGCTGAACGACTCATGCTGAGCCTTCATCTCCGTCGCCTAAACACTATTCCACTTGGTATGTAATCTCAGCCTGTGCTTTCACCTATTCTTTGAGGCGCCTTTCTGTGCCTGACAACTAGGCGGGGGGGGGCGAAGCCCCCCGCCGCCGGACCCCTTGTACTACTGTAACAGTCTTCTCAAACTTCAAAGTGAGCGCTGAATCTCGCACGGTAGAAGATCCTGCCTGTCGGCGATAGGATGGTAACGAGCGGTGATATCTGATTCATCCATACAATATATCCATGCGGTGGAACGCACGACCACCACACGGGTGTGCGTGAGTTCTTCTGCTTTATGCTCTCCCTGGAGAAAGAATAGATCTTCACGACGTTAGCACCCCCAAATAAGGCGAAAACGCTTCGTCCTCGTGAAATAAACTTCGAACACAGTTAATCTCGTTTCACACGGGGTTTTTGCTTGTGTTATTAGACTATAGTCTCAATATTCTATAGGGAACCAAGGGAGCAGGCACTAGCCAGGCAGGGTTTAGGAGTGTGGGATTGGAGGGGGAGGGGGTACTCACTCGGTGGTTATTGCATGCCTTCGTTTTTGATGGACCACTATTATTATAATTATTGATGAGACGTGCTCGCGAGGACGGAGAAGCATTGCTCCTACAGGAGGACCGATCACCGATGGCCAATCGTCTTTCCTACTTTGCCAAAGAGGTGATGACTGGCTCAAAAAAATGTTTTCCGTATGTAATCTATGCTATCGATACCCTTCCCGCCTCATCCAATGTACTTCTTACACCTCAATATGGGATGGATGGGTTGATACATTTCGAAATAGAAGGTAAATCCTCAAGAAAGCCCTAGTCTAAAGTCCAAAATCAATCTCTGAAGGAGCGGAAGTGCCCCTTCTATCATCAATATCACCGTGGAGGGTCGCTACCGCTTCAGGGAAGGGACAACGGCATGTTCGTTCGGCAGGAGGACTATTTCCCGGAGGGCGAAATAATTGGTTCTGGGCGGCGCGGCTTCCTCTGTTGTGTTATCCCCAGGGTATCTGAGGAAAATACTGAAAACAAGTGATATTGTTAGGGCTGGAGAGCCTTGCAAGCGTACACGGTGTAAACGTAGATGGCTAGCTAGATAGCAATATTTCCTTCCCCCGCAATAATATCTAACGATGACAACAACTGAGACATGCCGACGAACGAGCGGTAAAAGAAGCGAGCATACATGAAACCTCTCGTCCGTCTTCCTTCCACAGGAAGACGGAGTTCGAGAAAAAAATGGCGTTCACCACCATGGTAACACGATAGTCTAGAAACTCCGTACGTACGCGAACACACAAAGCAAACCAAAGATCGATTTCTTCCCCTTCGTGCCCGATCAGGAAACACGTTTGATTCCTTGTCGATATGATCAGTGCTTCGACTGCTTCGGCCAACTGTAACTTTTCTCGTACTGCACCCATCATCCACCCCACCAAAAAATCAGTGCGTCCCAAGAGAGACATGTAATCCCCTCCCCCTCCCTCTCTCCCGAGAACAGTGCAAAGTTAACGAAGTTTGTGTTATCTTACTCTTGCCCCCCCCCCCCCCCCCCCCCCCCCCCCCCCCCCCCCCCCCCCCCCCCCCCCCCCCCCCCCNTTGTGCGGGGTGGAGAACCCTCACTCCGCGCAAGGGGGATGATCGCACCACGTTGTGTTAAATTGGTCAAGCACCCTCGAGGCAGTTACACAGTGCTAGCAACTGTCTCTGGAAGCGAAAGCACCAGAAAATAAATTCAGTCATACGCAGCTGTCATCCGTACGCAGGAAGTAAGCACGAGATGCCGAACAACCTTAGCAGGATGCAGCGCACCCTTCATGCGACTCGCCGAATATCTCACGGCGCTTCGCCCTAGGTGATGTGAGAGCTTGGTCCGGTGAGAACCCNCCCCCCCCCCCCTCCCTCGCGCGCTCCTCCCATGATGATAGCCCGGCATGAGCCGAGAAAGGTACAGCCGAACAACCTTTACTGCTTGGCATTGATACTAAAACGCATTCTGCATCCCTGCTCGCTCGTAGATATTTAACGAGATACAGGACGGCCTGACTCCTGTTCACATCACTCATCGAATCAATGCAGACGGCCATCATGTGGGTGACAGTCGGCAGAAGATGAAAACACTCTTGGGCAGACTGCGCGTGGTTGCCTCTGCTGCTGCTGTGCTCCCTCCGACTTGCGGTGCTTCCGAAGGACTCCAAACACTACGGAGTACGACTAACGCAGCCGAAACAGCACCTACCCTTAGCAAGGAACACTCACTACGAGTACCCCAGGCCTCTCCCGTACTACTATCTTTATTACGTGTTTTCCTGCCCAAAACTCTTCTCCATCTCAAATTTCCACCCTGCTTTCCGCAGACACCCAGACGGGTTTTGACTTGATCAACTTTACAAAATCTTGTATCCGAACAACAGAGTGCCCACAGCGGCTTACGTTGATTCGCCCGACTCAGAAACGCAAATCAGAGAGCGCTTACTACGTCTGAATAAGGACTACAGCGGTGTCTGATGTACAAGAGCGTGGGGGGGAGGAGGCGGCGGACGGGAGAGAGACCCTTTCCGACCAAAGCACGACTTCCTTCAACTCGGGAAAACTTGTTTTGACCTGCAAAAAGTCCGGCTAGGAAGCAAAACACTCACTCCCTACCACCAGCCCGACTGCAGCCAGCGACACAGGCTGTCCGAGGCGTAATACCCCAACCACACCAAACCCTTCAGCTAAACTACACAACATACTTCGCTGGGTAAAAAAGGGGGGGCTGCCTTCGTCGATCGCGCCACCGCAGTCGCTCGTCCCCGCCGGGCGCGCTTGTTCGAAGCAAAGCCGGGAACCCAACCAGGGTGCGCTATTCGCTTCTCAAGCTGACCCCGAATTGCCGTTTGTCGACGGCCTGGCGACCGAGCACGCCAACATAGCGCACGAGCGCGCTAATATACGCAGGGAGCGCTGCCTGATTTTCTCATTTTCAAAAGTGACATGCTTCACCTCATTTGCCGCTCGTGCGGGGCTTATCCATGACACCGGGCACACGTTAAGAACAACGACAACCGTACGGAACACGCGCGCCAATCCAATCAGACGATCTCCGATCTCCGACACCCAACCACGAGCAAGCTCCAGAATCGCCCAATCAGCGCCGTGAAAGCATGACCCAGCTGACAATCCGGAGGGCCACGTGAACATCCCTTTGAGACACGAGCAGGATCAGCAGGGTTCCACTATGACTCGGCCTGAGGTCTCACCGAAGCCTGGTCAGATGCACACTAAAAACGAAAACACATACGGAGTAATACATACACACGTGCTCAACAGCGAAACCCGTTAACCCACACACACAAGTTCCACGTACTTCATCCGTCTTGTCCTTCCTATTCTTCCCCCCGTCTTCGAAGAACGCCACCGAATAATAAGGGCCAATTCTCGCGCAACTCAGGACGAATAAAATACAGCCGTCACTGACAACCCAGCCAGCCAATCAAATTAACCTCGTGGGCCCAACCTATCAATTAGCGTCGCGGTCTTTGGGGCGGCTGTCGCGTGCCGCTACCTCTAGTGTTTCTGCACTTTCGCGATCCCCACGCTCCGCTTGTAGGTGAGAACCTCCTGCGGGGTAACGCGGTCTGGTGTCCAGTTCGCGCTGCTGCCCCGCCGATGGTACCTGCTCTTGGTCACCTGTTCAAGTTATTCACGTCATTGTGCCGCCAATGAAAGGAAACTTCATTTCAAGTGGCTTGTACTCTTCGCATTCCTACCTCCGTGATCCGACAACAATGAGTAGCTTTGATTCGAACCTCGATGAAGTAGAAAGAAACGTTCGGCGAACAGAAGTAGAAACATTCGATCTCAACGTGACACGCTGGGAATCGCCCTCGAGAGTGCGCTATTTGCTGTTGAAGAGCCGTGAATATCCAGAGAAAAAACATGAGACGTTTCACCGTGAACCGGCCGGCACCTCAGCGAGATCCACCTCGATCACAACTATATCCGCACAAATCAAGCATAGACTGGTAGCGAGTGATAAAATATGAAAAAAGACAGTATCCTGGGTTTGCCAAGTCGAACAACATCTACGCTTCTTTCCATCGAACGTTCAGATCCGACCTCCCTCTCCTATGTACACGCGAACCACCGCCTGGGACACGCAACAAAGAAGAAAGCTCGAAGCACACAAAATCGAAAGATAACACAAACACACACACACACACACACAAGTCCCACGGAGACACAGACCTCCGTCTCAATCTCGGCAACACTCTCAATCAGCTCTTACCGGGAATATAGCCTCGAGATCACAAGTGAAAACCTCCGGGAATATCTTGTCTGGGTCCACCTTCTGACCCGTGGCGTACTGCCTCGTCAGGGCTTCCGACAGCGCCGAGCCTTTCGCCCACGCCGGGATCTACATTTCACGTCACACGTGTTTTTCACGACGGTTGCGTGGTAAGCAGAGGCGGCGCCAGGTTATGAAAAGTGCTTCGATTGTACAGCTCCATCGTGAGAAACGACAATCATACGCCACCAAAATGAAGCAATGTCATGCGGCTGTGCGGCAGTCTCTTCACGAAGAAAAGAAGCATGTTCGCGAAATCAGTTTCATGCACACCGCGACGAACAAAGGACGTGCCGCAGTCAGCCGGCTCTGAGGAGGCGGGTTGTGAGCGTGAACGCATGCATGCCCCACGCCACTCGCTGGTGCTGTTTGACGGAAAGCGCACGAGAGTTGAGCCAGCGAGAGCTTACTCTAATGCTCAAGCCAGGGAATCACGAACTCCAAGTGCGATGATATCAGAATAAACACTCATTCCAACTGCATGGTATGCGTGCAGACGACCTCGAAAGGGAGAAAAACTTGAGTGAGGCATGGCCACCGCTGCAGCAACTGGAGACAGGGAAGACGGGGCGACGAAAAACTACACACACACACAGTCGGCAGAACCCTTTTGGTTAGAAAGCGTGTTCGCGTTTTTATCCCGCTACATCTTTTCATTGGTCAGCCGGTTGGCGCGGTCGATACTTATACTGAAGACACACGTAGACACACCTTCTTTCCCGATCGTCTGCTGCGCTCTCTCATTTCCTCCTCGTCGCTCTCGCTTTCCGAGGTGTCGCCATCGTGGTCCGACATCTCGTAGCTCTCCACCACCCCTGTTCCAGCCGCCGCCGCCCCTACCGCCGTACCCGCCGCGGCCGCCTTCCCCTTGGCTGAGGCGGCTCCCGAATACTCCGGGCCGGCAGCAGCAGCATGACTACTGCTTGACGCAGATGCCGCAACCGCCGTCGTGACCGCCGCCTTCAAGCCCGACGAAGACGCCGGTACAGCCGCCGCCGGTACAGCCGCCGGTACAGCTGCCGCCGCCGGCCGGCCGGCTGTCGAGGTCGGGTCGGTCGAGCAAGCGGGAGTAGCAGCTGGGGAAGCCCGCTTGAGAACTGCCACCGGCTTCCCTTCCGCAGCGGTGGCTCCAGCGATTGTCGAGGTGACGGCCGGTGCGGCGACGGTGGCGACGGCTGCGGGCTCGGGTTTCCTTGCCTGTTGCGCCTTGATAGCGGCTCCCTGGTTCGTACGTCGCGACAGGAGAGGCGAGCAGGTGTTCGAGTAGAGAGAATTGGGGGAGGGTTGCTGCACCGAGCGCGGTGCGCCTCGCAACTAACACGCCGAGTGGGAGTTGGACAAAGAGGGTTGTTTCTTGCTCTGTCAGGTGCTAAGATTAAAACCCTGACATCGTGATCCGACAAGGGTGTAAACGCGGTTCAAACCTGACCCCAGCTGCACTGAGACACAGCTCTTGCGCAGGCGTACTATCGGTTGCGGTCACCCCTCTCACCCGTGCTTTGCTTTACTACTATACATGAGACCAATCTAGCACAGAACCACCCCAGCAACCTCCTACCCCGTTGGTCAGTTCTCCACCTTGCCCCTGTGGATTGCACCGTGTCACGCGTGGAATATTACTCCACGACTTGCAGCGACACACGCAAGCACATCTCTCGCCCAAGCACATCTGGGGGCAGCAACCAACGTCATCCCCACCCGTGCCTAATCTCAGAATACTGCAAATTTGGTGCCTAGTTTGTGAAATGGGCTGAAGTCTTGAGTTGCTAGCACAGCCACCCACGAAAAGCTAAAACACACCACAAGCAGTCCGATTTCGCACGAACCCTAGCCCCCCCCCCCCCGCTTCACCCGCCAGCCAACCAACACGGTACTGTAAGCCAACGCACCTCTTGCGCCGCCTTAGCCTTAGCATCTGCCGCGGCCGCAAGCCTCCTGGCCTCCTTCTCCTGTCGCTCCCTGGCATCCCTCGCCTCCTTGTCGGCCCTCTCCTGCTCGCGACGCTGCTCCACCTCCGCCTGCCGCTGCGCCTTCTGCTCGCGCAACCTTGCCTCCGTCTCCTGCTTGGCGCGGCGGCATGCTTCCAGGCGGGCCGCGTCTCGCAGCTCCTTGGTCTCGAGCTCGGCCTGTGAGGGGCGAGGAACAGAGGGCAGTTCAGATCGCATGCCCATTACGAGAACAACGTATTGAACTGACCGAAGAAGATTTGCGTGAGTGGTATGACACGTCCGTCAAAGCTCGCACGAGGAGCGAGCCCACACGAAGACAACGTTGCCGAAAGCCTGAACAACAAAGAGGACTGGCACGCCCAGCTGCAACTCCCACGCCAAAGAATGACTTTCCACGTGGTACCGTAAATGCAGGAAAGATACGAACAGCGGTCAGGTCATATGGACGAGGTATAAGCACCACACGTCAAGGACACTTCGCACACCTTCTTCCTCGCCTCCTCCGCCTTAATCTTCTCCATGCGAGCCTGACGCTTGAGCGCGATCTTGGCGCGCTGGTCCCTGATCTTCTTCTCGACGCGCTCCGAAGAGGACACGGTACTGCTGGGCCGCCCGGCCGCCGTAGAGCTAACCCCCATGGAAAAGCAAGACGAAGACGTACTGCCGGCGGACCTATCGCTAGCGTTGTCGCAATCCACCGCCGCCGCTGCTGCCGCCGCAGCAGCCGCCCCTCCGACGAACAGGTCTTCTGAACGGCGGAACGGCTCCGGCAGGTCGGACGAAGACAAGTCGGACACCTTCCTGCTTGACGGGGGCAACGCTGTTTCCTCCGCCCCCAACCCCGCTGGTCCGGCCACACACCCCGGCACAAGCTTGGACAGCATACCGGTGACGCGCAGGGGGGCGAGATGCGGCTGGGAAGGAGCACCACCGGTGCCTGCCGAAGATACTGCCTTGCCGTCTGGAACTCCCGCCGTGTTCGATCCCGCCGCCGCTGCCTGCGTGGCGAATGCCTTCGCGGCCCCCGCCATTGCCCCGTCAGGCGTCACACGTTCGCCCTGACTGCGTGCCGCAGAAGCAGGCGCAGCGTGCGGCTGCTGCAGGTGCTGCTTTCCGGCAGCAGCTGCCACCGTTGCCCGACCTCCCCCCTGCGTTCTCACCCGCGACGCCGCCCGCTCTCGCGCGCGCCTCTCCTCGAGGAGCCTCGCCTCCTCGGCCTTCCGCAGCGCCGGCACCGTGCGGGCGTTCGAGCTAGCGCCGGCGCCGGCGGCGAGCCGGTCCCACTTGCCGAGGGGCGCGGCGGCCGCCGCCGCCGCGTTCTTCTTGGACAGCACGGAGGTGAAAGAGTGGAGGGTGGTGATCAAGTTCGAGGGCTTGCCGACCGCCGCCGCCCCCACCGTCGACGGCGCAGCGGGCTCGGCCGACGTAGGCCCGGTGGCGGCGGGGGCGGGAGGCGCTTCCGCCGCCGCTGCCACCGCCGCCTCACTCCGCGCGTCCGATTTCGAGGCCGGTGGAGAGGGGACAGCTTCTTCCGCCGCCTCCGCCGCCGCCGCTGGTGCTGCCGCTGCCGCTACCTCCGGCTTCCAAGTCGCCATGAAATCAGCGGCCGCCTTGCGGGCTCCTGCGTTACCCGCCTTGGACGCCGCGCCGGGAGTGCCGCCCTTCTTCGCGTACGTCTTTCTCATCTGGGACATGATCTCCTGCAGGCTGACCTTCTCCTTGCAGGTCTTGGGCCTCTTGCCGCCGCCGCCGCCGCCGCCGCCGCTCCGCCCGACGCTCGAGGAGACAGCAGAGTCGGCCGCGCTGCCTGGCGTTTCTTGGGCCGCGATAGGACGAGCGCGCTTCCCGCCGACGACGTCGCCACCGCTACCCCCTGGCGGCCCTACGCCCGATTCCTTGCTGGGAGCGTTCGTGATCGAGGTTCCGCCGGAGCTGAGGAGAGAGGTCGATGACCTAGAGACTGCCGCGCTGCCGGGAGTCTTGCAAGGGAAGCTCTGGGTGCCGCTGCTGCTGCTAACACTGCCGTGCCCGACCGGTTTGTCCTCCAGCGCGGGGGGCGCGAAGATGTCTTGCGGAGTTCCTTCTTCGCTCCTGTGGTCAATGCAATGGGCGAAAGAGAGACAAGGGGGATAAAAAAAGACCGCACGACAATCAGTCGTTACCCAGGAAGTCGATACAGCACGTTGTCCAGCAATCGGACCGCAGTACAACTGATCATATAACCACACCTGAAGCCGTGTTTTGCACGCTTACCCTGCTCGGGAACGAAACGAAGGCATCTAGCCGGTGATGTCTAAAGGCTACGATACCGCGAACATATTTGACTACAGAGTCGGCCCACGCCGAAGCTCCCGGGATGTCCCCTTATGCCACGGTCAATGCATTGTACATGGCAAGCGCATTTCACGCACACGCCAATCTACGGGAGGATGAGTGAAGCGAGACACAATCACGCCGCACGCATCCGGCGCGATGACGCGCATGCAAGACAATTTTGCATTCACGCACACAAAGGTAAGGTGCATCACAACAATGACAAGAAACGACCGAAACGGTCGGGTAATGACGACGTCCACGCACAAAGAGAGTGTGGGGTACCCCTGTACAACGGAAGTCTATTTCACCTTACATCATGCAAGCCATCGCGCAAATGAGACACAGGCACATGGAAACTGGCTCTACGGCACCGTAAAGGCATCAAACCCTGTGCGGCGGTGCTGCAGCCAACAGCAGCAGTGCGAGCGTAGAACACCAAGCAGCATGCACCGGGAAGCCTGTACGTACGCTACACGCATCCTTTAGCTTGCCACAGCAACCAAGACGTATTTGGCGGGAGTATCACGCACCTGGGCTCTTCAACGTCCATCTTATCCTCGATGGCCGCCTCTCCGTTCGGCCTCTTGTCCTCCACCGCCATACCCTTCGCCGAGGCATCCCCGCCCCCCGCCCCCTCGCCCTCTACCTTTGCCCCGCCTTCCACAGCAGTCCCGCCCGGCGATCCGCTCTCCTCCGGAGCAGCTTCATCAGCGAGGCCTTCCCTGCCCTCTTCTGTCAGCAACACCTCTCCCTCTTCCGCCTCTTCCTTGTCTTCTTCCTCCGCCATGTTGCCGGGCACGCCAACCGGGGTGACAACCTGAACAATCTCCGTCACCTCTTCGGGGACAGGAAGCGTATCGTTGTCGGCTGCGGCAGCCCTAGCAGGTACTCCTGACGCAGCATCCGGCACCGGCGACAAAGGCGGGTCGGCACCACCCTCCCCCTCGCTGTCCTCCATATCACCCGACGCACCAGTCTTGGGAACGTCTTCCTCCCGTGCTGACCCTGCTGCCGCCGCCTCCCCTACCGTAACTCCACGCTGGTCTATCTTCGAAGTGTCCGTTTCCATCTCCTCGATGTCATCCCCGCTGTCATCATCGCTCTCAAGCTTTTCCGAGTCGATATCCATCAGATCTTCGACGCCATCATCAGCATCACCTCCACCCCCACTCTCAGGAGCACCTGAGGCGCCTTCCAGAGCGCCCTCAACACCAACCGCGGCGGCTGCTGCAACCGCTACGGCGGTGGACGCCTCCTGCTGCTGCTGCTGCTGCTCCGAGTCATCCCCGAAGAACGGCGAGGAACGCACGGGGGAGGGGACCGCGGCCGACTCTGCCGATAACCGTGGCATCGAGAGGCGGGTGAGCGGCCCTAGAGCAGCCCCCGGTGCCACCGACGACCTGGTGGATGGCAGCCCCGAGTTAGCACTTGCGTCCTCGGAGCTTGCTACGGCGCCCGCTGCTGGGGCATCCCGTTGTTCTTGTTCTCGCTCGTCCTGGTCGCCTTCAATAGTCGGCGGGGTGGTCTCGAGTTCGGAGATGCGCGCGGCGATGGTCTCTTCGAGCCTGACCTGGAGCACCGCCTTGAGCCCCCCAGCGGACGCTCCCAGCTTTCGCAACGCCGCCCTGAGGTCTACGACCTTCATTGACGAAACCTTGATGGCGCGGAGCTCAGCGATCTCCGCGGCGGCGACATCACCGCTACTGCTGCTGTCGCCGTTGTCCCCTGCTTCGCTGTTGTTCTGGGTGCAGCCGCCGCCGCTGCCGCTGCTGTTGGGCGCCCGGACGATGCTGCCGCCACGCGCACGACTGCCTTCGGTCGGCTCGGGCGGAAGGCCGGAGGTACGCCCAGATCTCCTCACGGGCTCAGCCTTCGGCCCAGACCTGTCCGCATCGGCAGGGTTAGCGGTACCACCGCCAAGCTTCTTGCGTTTGGGGAGAGGAGGGCGACCCCTCCCCTTGGCAACAGCGGCGGCGGGCTGATTCTCCTTGTCTGCTCCTGCCTCGTCTTGCGCTAATGGCGGCACAGCAGCAGCACCGCCGCTACCCTTCTTCCCTACCTCTGTCCTCTGTCGCTTACCACGATCGGCGGCGGCGGCGGTGGCGGCAGTCTCTTGCTGTTGCGATGCGGTTGAGACGTTGGAATCGCGTACCCGCAGCTTGCCGCGGTGCGAGGACCGGGGAGGGAGCCGCGCCTCTTCTACCTTGAGGGCAGGAGAGGCGGCGGCCCCGACCAGCGGAGACGGTGGCGGGGATTCAGCGACGGGGATAGCCGGAGCTCCTGCGCCGGACGCCCCTCCTATCTCCAAGACATGAGCATCTGCCTCTGAAAACACCCTGCCGACCCGCCCGTTATTGGCGACTCGGAGCGCGTCCAGCACGTCGTGGTCGGCCTTGCTGTGGAACTCTTGCAGCGCGTGCACGAACTCTGCGAACTCCGCCCCCGCCACGGCCCGCTTCCGAGCATCACCAGAAGTGTGCTCTACTTCGGCCGGCATGTCTGCGGCACGGTAGCAGAGACGGCTCTGGAACGCGGCGTATCAGGTGTCTCTATTCTCGTCTCTCCCTCTGCAGATGGATGGGAGCAGGTACACACCAAAATGTGTTTTGCGTTGGAAGGCGGAATTTAACGAGCCGGTGCGCGCCGCTGCTCCTCACTCCCTCGCTCAGCAGTACTGCTCTCCCGCTTCTCGTTGCTGTGACGAACAAAAGCTTGTCCCTTTCGATCTGTTTGCGTGTGCGAAGCGCGAAGCTCTCTCGACAGCAGACAGAGCAAACCTACTTTCCGGCCGTTGCATAATTTTTCGCAGCAAGGGGGGGGGTACCAAACAACAATACGAAATGGAGGGGTGGGGGTGTCGAAGAGAAAAAAAAAAAGTAGTAGGAAACAGCTCGACCCATAGCAGGCAGCAGAGCACCACTGTGTTCACGGTCCGAGGTGAGAGGTCTTCGCTCGAGAGGTATCCTATTGAGTCAGGTATAGAACCTTGGTCACCTCAGCAGTACACAGCGATAGTGTTTGGAAAGCGGTCCGTATGTAGACGAAAGGCCGTTGCTGTTTTCTCTGTCGTCGTCTCATCGTCAATAGCAGTTGCGCCGCCTTGCGCACAGCGCAAATCCAAGGCAAGAAATGATCAAGGTGCTATAGACCCCGTACAGCAAGATCGATTAATCAACCAGTTTAGAAGTGTTCACTGATTTATCCCGACGGTGTGATGCTAATTTCTCTTGCTGGCAGCAGCAGATGTCTCCCGATGAAGAAGAAGATTTGCTGCGATCCTTCCTGAACGAGGTCGCGGACGCTGAACCGAGCCTACAAACCTTCTTATCCCGCCGCAGCAAACATGAAGGAACGCCAGGAAACAGCGGTGATGGCTCCGCTCGCCAGCAGGGACAGCGAGAAGCAGCACAACTTACAGCCTGGACCGCGGGTCCGCTAAGGCGCAAGCTACGGGAGCTCTCTGCTCTCCATGTATCCGACGACGGGCCTTCACCGGGGGGAACAGGCGGCGTGTCGGCGGCGTTTGCGGTCGCCGCCTCTCCGGGCCTGGTCTACGCTGCCCTTGACGCACTGGTGCGTTTGGTCTTGCGGCTCCTTCTGTTGGTGGACGCGGCTTCTAGCGACGCAACACCGACGCTGCTGTCGCCGAAACAGGAGTCGGCAGACGCACTGCCGCTGGCGAGCCTGGTCGATCTCACCCTCCTCTGCCTCGCCAACCTTGCGGAGAGCCCTTCGTGGCGCCACGTCTTCTTCAGGGTGCTGCACGAGGTCCAACTGGAGCAGCAGCATTCGAGAGGGGGGGCCGGCGGCAGTAGCGGAGGAGAGGCAAGCACCGCCGCTGGTACTACCCTACAAGAGTACCTCTGGCGGAGGGTCGTCGTCGCCGATAGGACTACCGCCGGTGGCGCGGCAATGTCCGAGGCGAGGCCGTCGCCGCCAGCGCCCGCGGTACACCTCGCTGCCGTCCGGCTCTGCTGCAGCATGGTGCGCCACTGCCCTCTCTCCTTCTCCGCGTCCTCCTACGCCTCGCTTGCGCCGTACCTCACGGAGTACCTTCTCGGTGAGGGCGGCGGCGACGGTGGCGGCGGCGGCGGTGGCGGCGGCGGTGGCGGCAGCCACACGCGCAGAGGCAGTAGCAGCAGGAGCAACGACAGCAAGGGTGGGTGGGGGGCGCAGACCGACCTCATGGTGGTACTAGATCTTTTTGCGGCGTGCGCCCGAGGTAGCCCGCACTTCCGGCAGTACGTGAAGGGGCTCCGGCGGAAGCGGGAGCTATTCCGCCGCCTTCTCGGGCTGCTGGGTCCGATGTGTGACGGCAGGATTGTGGTTCGGGCGCTGTGCGCCCTCACCAGGGTGTTGGCGGGCGATCCTCTCGAGGGAAAGGTGAGCTTCGTTTGTGGGGTGCTTGCTCTTTTATGAGATGAGAGTCGGGGTTAGGTACCGCGTTGTTGTGGCTCCGGTGAAGAACGTGTTGGGACAAGGTGAAGAAGAGTACATGCATTGTGTTTCTCGTTGTTGTCTTTTTGTACCGGTGTACAATAACAGACGAGGCGTTTTGGTTGCCGCCGTGGCTCCACACTCGCCGATGTTTTCACCTAACTGTCGTGTACCTGCTGGACGTTTCATGACGTCGAGTGAACCCAATCGTCGTTTGGAACGTGTTTGCTGATGCGCGGGAACCCAGCCCAGTTTTGGCAACTTCATCTCATTTTTCTCCGTTACTGCACCTGATTGCGAGCTTATCACTACCTAAAGAATGGACCTCCCTCGCGTGTAACACTCCTCATCCCATCGATGACAAGGTCTTCGATCGCGGCAACGCCCTCGAGACAGCTTCCCTCGTCATCGACAACCTCTTGGACCTCTCCGGTTACTCTGAGCGCGTCGCATGCGTCGATAGCCTGACACCCAAGCACGGCCGCGCCGGCGCCGGCAGGGGTAGGCTCGGCGAGCAGCGGCGGTTCGCCGACGTGGCGTCAGAACTCGCCCGAAGCCAAGTGTTCACGTCCGTTCTCGTAGACACGGGGCGCCTCGCTTCGTTCCTCGGCGAAGCGGTGGCGGTGCTCGCACGAGCGGCCGCAGACGTCTTCGGCCGGTTGTCCACCGACATCGCCGCCGCCGGCACTACCGCCGCCGCTGCCGTTGCAACGGAACGAAGAGCGTCGCGACGCCAGGAAGACACGACGCGCCCCGAGCCTCTCCTCCGCGCGCTCTGCTCCTTCTGCTTGGAGCACAGCCCGGCGCGGTCGACCTTCATCCAGGCGCTTCTAGATAGCAGCGGCAGCAGCAGCAGCAAGCAGGCCGCAGCGGCAACGGCCAGGACGTCCTCTACTCTCGCGGCAGACCCGTGCGCCGCGCTGTTCGTTCTGTGCCTCCACCCCCACACGCCGTCTGCAGCGGCGGCTTCCACGCTGCTGCAGTGTCTGCTGGTAGGGGGCGGCGCGCTCGGGGCCGTCAGCGGGCCGTCCACCGGGGCGGCGGCGGGGGTGGGAGTCATCCCCGCGGGCTTCCTTCTCGGCCCGACCGGCGTCGGGGTGTCGTGGACGGCGGCGGCGGCGGCGGGGATCGGCAGGGAGGACCCCCTGCAAGCGGCTCTGTTGGAGCGGATAGGCGCGGTGGCGCTCGGGGGCGGCAGGCATAGCAAGTGGACGCCCGCCGCCGGGAGGGGTGGCGATGGCGGTGTGAGGGGCGCCGACGGCAGTCGTAGCAGTGATGAGTCCGATGGTTCTGACGATGCTGGTATTGACGGCGGCGACGGGGATGAGCGTTCGTTTCGCTGCGGGTCGGGCTTGGAGCACCCCGCCGGCCTCGCCGATGCCGCTTCTAATTTCGAAGGGCCGGGGGGGGGCTTGAGCCTCCTCGTGCTGCGGCTTCGGCAGATTGGCGGCGACCTGGCGTCGGCGCAGGCGAAGCAGCAGCTGGGGCTTTCGTCACCGTCACTGGTAGCGGCGAGGCCGGCTTGGCCTTTGTCCGCCGCGATCGGAGCCGGGGTGCTGAAGGCCCGCGCGGTGGAGATGGAGCTGGAGCTAACGTCGGTCTTGTGCCTGCTGTCGTCGTTGGTGAGTTGCTTCTTTGTTAGTTGGCCGGCCGTTTTTGTTCTTGCGGCGGACTGGTCCGCGCGAGATTGCGAGTCACATCCCCTCAGGGATGGCCGAGAGGCGTACGATGTTGTGGCTTGTAGTCATCGAGAGGAGGGTAGCAAGATCGTGCGAGCAGGAGCTTTCGCGGAAGAGTAGCCGCCCCTCTTCTCTCCCTCCCGGAAAACACCACCGCCACGGCTTCTCGGCCCACCCAGGCCGTGGAGATGACAGGGGGGTGACCGCTCTCGAGTGGGGCGGGGTGGCTAGCTGCGAATCGTTGTCGTCATGAAGTGGCGTCGCCGCCGCTGCCGCTTTCTTGCGCGTCCCGGCCGTGCTCCGCATGCACACGCACACGCGTCCTACGGCGTTGACACTGCTGCTGTTCCCTGTTTCCTTTTGCCGGACGGCCGCGCTCCACACACGGTACACCCTACGGTTTTGACGGTCATGTTCCCTTCGTGTCTTTTGCCATCAGCCGTCCTCGCTTTCCCATCTTTGTGTCTTCTCGCCATTGTTGTTGGCCCTTCTTTGTGTCTTCCCAGCCGCCTCCCTTGGTTAACCCATCTCCACGTCTTGCCGGTACCATGTCGTTCGCGTCTCCTCTCCAAGGCGCTCGCGGTGCCGGCGGCCGGGCGCGCTCTGGCGCGCGCGCTTCCCCTCGAGGCCGCCTTCGCCCCAGTCCTCGCGGCGCAACGGTGCGTGCTCTCCGGGACCGATCCTGCGGACTTTCCCCGTGCACCCGTCGAGATCGTGCTCGTGTCGCTGACTTTGATAGCGCAGCTCGGGGTGAAGCTGAGCGGCACCGGCGGTGGAAGCGGGGACGTTCGAAGGTGGATCTATAACAAGGGGGTATGTTGTAGGCCGGCAGCTCTGGTTTTGCTTATGAGGGTGGGTACTGCAGTGTAAGACGTGTGGAATGGAGGGAGGTTATTTTCCGTTCGAGCTGTTTTTGAGCCTGCGCTGAAGAGAGGATAGGTTCACTGGACTGTGTTGTACTGCTGCTGGTGCTGACGCACGATGACAATGTTGATGGGTATGCAGCGGGGAAGGGGTTGGAGCTCGAGTGGATGGATACCCAACGCGTTCACCACGAAAATCAATGCTGGGCCCTAACGACCCGTGTACAACCCTTGCACATCCCGCTAAACCGAGAAACAAATGCGATAATGCGATAATGCTAGAATACTTTCGAGCGAGTGCACGGCGCCATCGCATCCATGAACAGAGTGATCAAGACTGCCAATCTCTTGGACATGCCACCCGTTGCAAAGAGCACGAATGCGGGGGTAGAATACGCACGACCGAGTTCACGCATTGTTCGGTGCGCGGACCACGAACAACAGTGATCACGACCACGCCCGTCTCCACGTACCCCCCCCCAGCTTTTACCAAACGTGCATCGACTTTTTCTGTGCCCCCGTTGACGGTGGCAGTAACAGTCACGACATCACGGCGAGCGACGTCGAGGAAGAGGAAGGGCATAGGAGGAGGGCTAGGCGGCGGCGGCAGCGGCAAGGGCGCCAGGACGCGGCAAGGGCGGCAAGGCTGAGGAGGTTCTTGGGCGAGCAGGCGGCCGCGGGCGAGGTGAAGCTGTGCCTCGGGCACGCGGCGTGTCGGGCGGAGAGCAAGGACCTCGCGAGGCGAGCGGCGACTCTCATCTCCTTGCTACAGGTAGGGGGGGGGGGGGGGGGGGGG